CCCGCCGCCCCTTACGCTGCGCTCGGCCGGGGGGGAAGGAGGAGGAGGAGGAGGATGGGGAGGAAGGGCGGGCGGAGAGGAGGAAGCAGGAAGCGCGCGGGGCCGCAGGTGTGTGTATACACACACATTTATATATTATCTATTCATATACATATGTTCCATACGATAGATATATGTGCCCGGCACCCTGGGTGCAGCGGCTGGTGGCTGCGCCTGGCGCCCCGCCGTTTGAAGCCGCTGCTTCCAATGGCTGCAGCTTCACCGGGCATTTATCATGCGGTGGGAATTCCAGGTGSTTCCCGCGGAGTGATTCCTCCCCAGTTCCAGCCAGCACATTATGCCTTCACCATAAGGAGGGTAGGGAAGAAGACATTGCTTTGCCCTTGTTAGCAAATCTGGCGGCCTTTCTTTCTCTCCGATAACCTTCACTTTGATTTGGATATTCAAATATACTAGAGGCAGCCTTTACATCAAGGAGATGCCTTTTGCCATGCCTGAGAAAAGGAAATGATACCTGGACTTCCTTCATTGGAAAACTGCCATTTGCCCATGAACATGAAAGATTTGCTAGCTGGGCATATATATATATATATATATACACACACACACCCATATACCTATGTAAATATTTGAATCACTTCAGACGACTCCAAGCATTTAGACCCGAGCGATCCGGAGTCCAGCTCCCGGACCGTGCTTCGCTCGGCTGCAGCAGCTCCCCAGGACCTGGCGAAATGGCCGCTGCCAGAAACGCTTCCCGCGTCTCGCTGATCCAGGAGCCTGCACAAGGAGAGCGGGAAGCACCTGCAGGAACCCTCGCGTTGCACCGCGCAAGGACACCCTTGGAAGCYGTGGGTCTGCTGTACTCACCTGCTGAAAATAATTCAGGAATTGTACACCAGAGCTGCACCAAGAACATGCAGCCCACAATATCAATCACTCTTATGAATTACTGAAGTCTGACAAAAAGCCTTAATTTTCGTGTTAACTTGTAATATGAGCTGTTAATTGCACTTCCCAYAGTACTTTCTCACAGATATCCGGCACAATAACAACAGCCCTCTCCTAATGAGAACAATTTTTCTGTTCTGTTCCTGTGCCACCCTGCAGTGATCGCTGCACTCCACTGAAAACTCCACCTAAAAAGCGTTTATTTTCTCATTTTTCTTAGGGTGCTTGTGACTGTGCAAGCCCTTCCCAAACACTCATGTGCTTCTGCAGCTCCTCGGAGTAGCTGTTACCCTGGCAAAGGGCAGGCAGGGAACGATGAGCAACTCCCTCGCGGCAGGATGAATTCCCGCTTCTCGGGCGGGACATTGCCCGAAGCGCTAGGCGGGCACCGCGTCTGCCGCAACGCCCGGGGCTGCCGCTCTCTGCACCCCAGCGAGCCAGGTGCCTAAAGAAAGCCGGGAGAACGGCTCCCATTGCCTACCCTCCATGACAAGCGTTTGGGAGGCGAAAGGGGAAGGATCGCGCTCGCGACAAGGCGGGGAAGGTAGGAAAAGAGGGTCGCGCACAGCTCCCACATGAGCAACGATGGCGCCGAGGCGCCCCAACGGCCGCCAGCGCGCGGGAGTGCGCATGCGCGGGGCCGGCCCCGCCCCAACGGCCGCCGGGCTGCGCATGCGCGCGCTCCCTCCCCTCGCGTCCGGCCGTTGCCGGTAACGGCCGCGGCGGAAGCGGAAGGGGAAGGGGAAGCGGAAGCGCGCGCTATGGCGTCGGTGGTGCTGAGTGAGGCGGAGAAGCTCTACATCGTGCACGGCGTCCAGGTAGCGGCTCTTTCCCGACGGGAAAGAGGATCTTCGCTTCCCCGCAAGGAGAAGCCTCCCCAGCCAGACCCTCTTTCCCAACGGAAAAGAGGATCTGGCTGCGGAGGCCTCTCYTTGCGGCGGCCCCTCAAGCGTGAGGGGACAGGGCAGGCGGTGAGGGATGCTCCGGTTCCCCCAGGAAAGGCCCCCAGCTCGTTGGTTCTTGTCCTTAAATATTCTGAAATATTCTGAAATATTCTTAGGAGGACCTGCGTGTAGATGGCCGCGGCTGCGAGGACTACAGATATGCCGAGGTGGAGACAGATATTGTGTCGAACACAAGCGGATCTGCGAGAGTGAGGCTGGTGGGTAACTGTATGCGGCCGATGTTGGCTTCTGGGTTACGCGACTGCATTTTTAAGCTAAGCCAGAACTGTGTGGGGAGAGGAGGGTGTGCAACCACCCATCACAAACTGAACCTATAATCTTTAAAGCCATAACGAAGGGATACATAATAGGCTTGTTGACTTCAACTGGGTTTACTGTAAAATCTATTTGGAAAACTCTCAGCGTRAAATAGGCTATAACTTAATCTTGGAAAAAAAGTGAAATCACCGCTGTGCCTGATCACTATAACRGCGATTGCTTCTTTTGGAGTGACACAAGGCAACTTCCAACGTGTTTTCACTTGGAATAAAATATCCTTTGCAATATTACAATATTTTTCCAAATGTAAGTATTCCCAGAACCAAAACAATACGAGTTTACCGATATTCAGTGTCTTGTTAACATAAAGAAGCTTTTATATATATGTGTGTATATATATATAYACATTTAAAAAAAGTTTGATGAAACTCAGGTTTAATATTGTTCACCTAAAATGCATATTATAAAATGAATGTGACTTTAAGCCCCCTGTAATGGAATGATTAGCACAGATGACTGAGAGGTAAAATTGCCAAATGTCTGTAGGTGTCCAAATTAAGGAAGTGAATATATTTCCTCTTGCGTGATATGTCTTTTGTTTTAACAGGGACACACTGATATTTTGGTAGGGGTAAAAGCTGAAATGGGCACACCAAAGTTGGAGAAGCCAGATGAAGGCTACCTGGAATTCTTTGTTGACTGGTTAGTACACTAAAGGAGAAGGAAATACATAYAATATTTGGAATAAATGGCTGATCAGACCTTACCATGCTTTTAAATTTTAWAACTTAATTTTACCATTACTTAAAAATTTACTTAGTTTTGCTATTAGGATCTGAGTAATAGMAACATTTTAGTAGTGGAGATGGCTCAGAAAACTTCTGCAATTTCTGCAGAATCAAAATGAGCAAAGAGGGAGGCGTTAAAGGATGAACCAGGTTAGATAAAATCACACTGAATTGAACAGCATCACTRCAGCAGGAAAAGATGAACTTGTTGATTCTATGTGTATTTAACTCAACTTCATSGTTGTAATGGTAGCTGTAAATGGACTATTAATTATCCTTAATACTTCTAGKGCTTGAATTATGAAGGAGGTTAGAAGAAAACTGAAAACTTCTGTTTTCAGGTTGCTTTGAGATAGCACGGTGACAATTTATTACAGACTGTTTACAGCATCCCTGTCTTGCAGACTTCCTAAAGCTCTCCTGCTTTATGAAATCATGTGTTTCACGGACCTGCTTATGAAAGACTTATCAGTCAGACTTAATCAGACTTTTTAAAATAAGTTTCCATCTCTAACACTAGGACCAATATGCAGATAATAAACATAAAGTATGAGAGCTACTAAGGAAGCAAATATCTGGTAGTATTCTTCATCTAACTGACTATATCACCCTTAATGTTTGTCTGTTTCTTTCATTATGCAAATTGATCTAAGATGTCTCTGTGCATTGCAAGATGATGGTTCCCTGTGGAACCTGTGTTTTGTGGAGGGAAGGTTTTACCTGTAAATTAACACTTCGTCTATGGTTGCTTCTAGAGAAACACTGGACAGGAAAAAACTCTTCTCAAATGCAGCCCTGTTGTGGAAGGGAGCGCGKTTTGACTGTGCATTATAAAACTTTGCATCCTGCATTGTGCTTTCTTGCTCCTGGTAGATTAGATGTGATTCAGGTCCAGGGCAGAAAGCTTCAGCCCTGCTGCTCRGCTCAGCCTCGCACTGATGTCATGCCCTTACTCAGCTGGGTCTGCCAGCAGAGTCTTTCATGTCTGGCATTCAGGTGGTGGGGATGATCAGTGGCTGAGTGGGGACAGTTCCATACACAGACAGGTCACCTGTGTCACGAGGTCATTTCTGTGGTGCCGCTTTCATATGTAAGTGMATTCTAGAAGAACTTCACCTCCTTAATGCTAGGTTGTATTTTGTAGCTAATGATCTCTGCTTCTCTTCAAAAGGCAATGATGGGGAGACGTGCAATAATACTCTGCGCTATGGATCTTGTCAGATGTATAGATGCCTAAAGCAGTCCTCACTTCTATTAACAGCACAAACTAAAGCTTGAGTTTGCAACTACAAGCAGAGAGAGAAGCAACTACACATATACAATGTTTATGTGMCCAGGGAAAGATCATCCTTAGCTTCCAGAAAAATCCTGTAGATAAAATGTGATGTTCTGTTGTCACAAACTGTTTGTTGCAAAGGAAATGAGATACTGACAGTACAGTAACTGCTGGTGCTTTCCCAGGCTGCCACTGGGTGGTAGTAACTGAGCAGAATTTGATGCCCTGCATCCGATGTTGAAGTTGTGCCTCAGAGATTCTTTGATTTCATGTTTCAGTTATGGTTATTTACTTCATAAGTGATAATGGTTGGAGCAACAGATGAGAAGAACTGAGCTGCTTTGACCAAAATRCATGATCTGATAACAGCAAGAGTTTTGAAAGGAGAGAGCTTTAGTGGAAGTATCTTTAGCAGGAGCCTAGGTTGTTAGGCAATGAGAAACTGAAACTGTCTGAATTTTTTTTAGTTGCATTCTCTTTGGGAGTAGAAATTTTGTGCTCCACCTGGCCATTACTATGCTCTTTGTGTTCCATAAAACAATCTTTTTGCTATTTTCTTCTATTAGTGTGCTAAGCAACCTTTTTTTTTTATTATTACTATTTTTAGTTTTACCCGATGTAAATCACTAATATCCAGTATTTACCATGCAGCTGTTTTGATATTACCCTGCCAACTTTTTTCTTTGTTTCACTTTGAAAGGAACCTGATATATTAAAACAGTAATGGAGTTAAGGTACAATAAAGCTTGCAATGATATCCTGATGGAGTCATTGTCTTCTTTCTTACTTGCTCGCAGACAAACTGGCTATATGTCCAAAACAGCTGCATTTGATAATAATATTGTGGTATAGCCTGAGGTTTGCATACTTTTTCTTAAATTATTGTTTGCAAGTGTAATGTTTGTATAACCATATTTCAAACAGAACAATTTAAACAGAGCGGTCTTGTTGACTTGTATATAGCCTGCTTCCCTGGTTTAGTGCTTGTTGTTTTGGTTTACAACCAAAAGGCCTGACTTAGCCRTATTGCCAAAATTACTAGGATCATATCTAACTAACACCTTATGGAAGTGGAATCTAATTTTGCATGACTACAAATACTATTARTAGTGTCACACTTTCAATAATCATTTAGGGAGAAAATAGAATTTGGATCAGAGCTTGATTGGCAGATGATTTGTTTTCCCTTGTTCCCATCTCCCTACCACCATCACCATATTTAATTTGTCACTTCTATCAGTGGACTGAACTAACTCTTAGAAAATCCAGGAACTCTTTCTGGCATCCTGAATCTTCATTAGTTCAGCTAAAGAGCAAGTTAGGAGACTTAGTGAGGGTAAGAATTTCCCCTACAGACTATGTGGTCTGGTTAATATGACTCATTTGATTGGTATAAGACATACACAGCTAATGTGGATYGCTGGTATTATGGGGAATGTTTGTTTGTTTTAGATGAAGGTCTCTATTCCCACAGTATGTTCCCTGCTGTGTGTTTGCATTCCCGTGGAGTTCTTTTTGGAAGAGCAAGGGACAAAATATGCATGAGAAATTGGTGCTGTGTGGTGCCCAGCCAGTGGAATTCGGAGTTTTGCTGTTGGAGATTTTGAACACATCAGACTGCTTCTCAGGAGCCATCTGCTCTACACAGTCCTGTAAAGCAAGAGGTCAGGCTCGTTTGAGAGCAAGAGCTGCAGAGCTCAGAGAATTCTCTTACCCTCTCTGTAAACGAGAGGTGTTCAGAACGCTTGCTTGTTATTTTGGTGTGCTTGTCTCTGGGCGTTTCTGTTCTACTTCATTGGAAATCTGAGGGCTTTTTTTTTTTTTTTTTTTTTTTTTTTTTTTTTTTTTTTTTTTTTTTATAAGCCTGTTACCTTTTATTGATTAGAAATTTATTCTTAGTAGAGGGCCCTGGCACCCAAAGGCTTTCTTGCATGGCTGCTTGTAAACAAAGTTCATGTTGTTGGAATCAGGAAAGTGAAGACTGCGCCCTTATGTCCATTTTGTTTTCTTTTTTTTTTCTTTTCTTTTTCTTTGGGGAGGGAAGGGGGGAAGGTGGAGTGAGGAGTGAAAATGTCCTTTAATTGGTGCTCTCTCTAAGCTGAATTAATAAAGATAATGAGATGCTGTTCGCCAGTGACTTAACAGCAGAGAATACACTCATCAACAAAATTACCAATTAAGGTCGGACATGTCATTTTTAAAAAAAAGAAAAAAAACTTTTCTCTTGTCATACTGTCACATCTTCCTCTTCTTATCTAATCTGTGTTCTTCATAATCTAACATTCATCTTTAACAGACTGGACTTAGAATAGTTTGGTTTTTTTCCCCTTTGTGGGTATGGGATGGGAAGGAAGTGTTGAGGTAATTGTAGATAGTGCTAAAAGTAATCTCTGAGACAACACTCTGAATTCTAACTTGAGAACTGCTACTGACAATAGTAGAATTGAATATATCTCTGTGCTGTTATCAACCTAGGTACTAATTAGCTGCATTATGATACTGTTACACAGAATGGAGATAATTTCCTCACAGATGGTGTGTTTATGCTTGTGTAAATAAATTCCTAGCTGTTCTTAATATTTAATAAGTGCTATGTGCATAGCAGCTGCTTCAGAAGTTTTTTTTCTTTCTTTTTCATTCTCTGTTTAGTTCTGCAAATGCTACTCCTGAATTTGAAGGCCGGGGAGGAGAAGAGCTTGGCACAGAGATAGCAAATACATTCTACAGAGTATTTAGCAGCGAGAGCTGCATAGACTTGAAATCACTTTGCATTAATCCCAGAGAGCACTGCTGGGTTCTCTATGTCGATGTTTTGGTAAGTAAGGAAATAAAAATGAAAAAAGGCTTAAGGAAGTAGTCAAGGTACTGACAAACTGAATTCACATAAACATGTGTCTTGTCATATTAAAGATGCTTCTCATGTAATGCAACATAATGTTCACAGCTGCCTATCCTCGAGAATTTGCCTAAAAGAGTTACTTGCTGCTTCCAGCGTATTCTTTTAGTCTTCTTCTGGAGACTGTGGCTCCACTGCAGAGCTGAGGAACCACTGAATAGTCTAAACTTGCCTTAGATTATAGATTAGTTAGTTTAGACTGATGAAGAAGTTACCACTGAAGAAGGCCAAACTGTTCCATGCCAGGCCATGTTCAATGCTAGGCAGTTTCCTAGAGTGACTGTCTCCCTCTACTGAATGTAAATGAACACATGCAAGTATTAGGGTAACATCACTTTCTGTTATGTTCACCTCTTGCCAGGAATTAGGGCTTGTTATCAATCCTAATCTCATGCAATAAATGAGAAACTTTTCTGACAAGAAGCTAATTTGACTTAGACACTTTTTTGAAGAAAATTGAGTATAAAGTTTTGTACGAGTATGGAATGCACAAAAGAAACTGATCTTTTTTTTCTTTTTAAAAAGATGAAAGTTAAACTTTGTGCATGCAAACTCTGTGTATGCAACAGCTCAATTCCAAGCATATTTAATGCTTTTTGTCACAGGGATTTAAAATAGAAGTCTAGGAGTCAAAGACTCTCCTCTCCTGAGCTTTATTTCCCAATCTTATTGGTCCAAGCCTGAATTCCCACTTGGTAAATGTGTAAATGAAACTATGTCAAGGAAATCTACTTGGTGGACTCAGTTAATGTCTCTAAAGCGATTTATGAAATGGGAAACTGCATTGTCAAAAACATCAAATCCAGGGTTTTGTTAAACAAAACAGAAACATTCCGACTGAGACCTACATAAACTTGACAACATGTCCATTAGGCTTTTTAAAAAGCAGTAGCATGAGCCCGAATTTAGTAGAAATGGTACATACTGTGACTTAGCCTGCATACAAAACCRTTAAATATGCATCACTGCTGTGTGCTTTAGCAGTGCCAGCCCCAGCTGGCTGGAGCCTGGCACAGCTTAATAGGGAGTGAAGTGCTAGTTCTGAGAAATTACTTTGGAGCCTTCTGCTACCAGTTAGCTGTGAGCAGAGGCAGAGAATATGAAGTGCTGTGTTTGTTTAGGCAGTGTACTGCCTCTGCAGGATAAACAAGCAGTGCCACCAAGTTGCCTGCAGAAGTGCTTGTGCATGACCTTTGCGTGAGGGAGTGCTGCTGATTTAGAGCTCTTGGCTACTGCTGGGACAAATTTGTTGGTATCTACAGCTACAGAGAAACAGCCTTGGCCTTTAACACAGTTAGTTGTGTGAGATTTATGAACGTGCAYGAAGTACCTTTTAGCCTTGATTTATGTTTCACTTTATTTAGAGTACCAGTAAACAAAACCTGTCCTTCATTTCTAACACTCTAAACTTACTGAGTCTTTTTAACGTAGCATTTTGCATGTGAACCCATTCAAGAACTGTTGATGTAGAGTAGGACACTTAACATCTGACTCTTACTGTTTTTTCCCAGGTCTGTGTATGCTAATGTTTCAAAATATTTGCACTATTTTTTTTTCTAAATAGAAGGTATATATTGTGTATACACATGGTGCAGAGTGTTTACACTGGATACAGATGCTTGATACCTACAGATTTTACTCAATCTTTTTCTGCCGAATACTTGCTCTGTTTTAATGTGGAAGTATGACATTTGTGCTTCTTAAAAATATTTTAAACTACTCCTCCATACTTTGAGGGAGAAGGCTTGTTGAGAGTCCTTTGGATGGTGTTTTCCTTCCAAATTACTAGAAATAGCTCACATGAGTGCTTATGTGCATAGTTAAGTTAAAGGGAAAATAGTCCTTAAACCTATGTCATAAGGCTGAGAATACTGGTATCTTGTAGTCAGATAAGAACATAATTGTTTTCAAATCTCTTGCTCTAAGAGGCAAAAACCCCAGCAGAGTGCTGTGAACTTGGTCTGTTCCAATTCCATGTATTTCAACTGTACAGTTTCACAGAAGCATCCACATTCAGGTCCTATGTGTAAACAGAACTTAAGATATGCAGTCTCAAAATAAAGCAATAAAGCAAAATAAACAGTCAGACATCTTCTAAGCCAACTCTCAAGAACAACTCTCAAATACCCTGACCACTAAAAGAGTATTTGAAAGATGATTTAATTGCATGTATTCATATGGGAGGTACTCAGAATGGAGAGAAGATAAGTTCAGCTGTGTGCCTGCTCACGTGGGCTCTAGGCTGACATTCTGCAGTGCTTTCAAAATAAATGTATCTTTTTTAGCAGTAAAAGAGGGGTCACTTTCCTGAGAGTAACTTGTGAATGTGGAGTATCTCATACTGCAAAACTAAAATCTGCTTTCATCCCATCTCCTTCCCTGCTCTTCCTTCCCCACCCTCCCCATTTCATAGCTCCTGATTTCAGAAATAGCTTTGGGAGCTTTTTCATGGTGTGTTTGACACACGTAGAGCCTTGTTCACATAAATTGCCCCAGCAGTCTGGCATGCTGAGCAGGGAGAATTAAACTAGTGTAATCTCTCTCCATTCCTCCATCCCTTTACAGCACATTTTGTGTGTGTGTGAAGAGAATTGCTCGATTCTACTGAAATTTTAGTAGCTCCCTGCTGAGCACCCATGAAAGGATTTCAAGGATTTCTCTTTTTTTTTTTTCCTATTCCCTCAGTCTGAAAAAACATCTTAGAGAAACGTCTCCTGCTTGAGGAAAAACTTTATTTAATGAGATATCTCTAATGTTGTTTTCTTTCTTGATACCCTCAGTATTTTTCATATGAGTAGATTAAAAATGAGGCTTTAAAAAAGACTCCTTTGCTTCCCGCAGTTCAAATAGTTATGTACTCTTTCTTCCCTTCTTGACAAAAAAAGGGAAAGACGGATCCCCCTACCATGTGCTTCAGCCAAGAAGAGAGCGTTCGTTTGGTGTGTAGGAACTGTATCATGCATTATACAATAGGTCTTATCCACGTTGCAGTGGTGCCTTCAGGGTAAGACCTCAGAATAACAGCCTCGCTATAACAGAACCCTAGCAACAGTAAAGGCATGTCCCATTATTGTGTTTTAGTAAAAAAGATATTGTGGCTYTATTGCATTATTGAGTAAAATCCAATAACTGCTGAAAGGGACAAGTTAACCTCTCTGTATCCAGCAGCAGTTTTCAAAGGAATAATTTGATCACCTTTGTATTCAGCTTTCTTTCCCATTTTTTTCTTCTACTTGTTCCACAATTTAGTCTGTCTTGGTAAAACTAAACTGCCTTGCAGTAACACCTGATTTATGGTTTGTTCCCAGTAAGGAGTTTACCTCATTCCTAAATGGGCTTTGAAGAACAATCGGTGTTGCAAAAACTTATTTTGCTCTCATCAGAGAGAGCAGGTGGATGTAATGGAGAAGCATCCGTATGTTCTCGCCGACACAGGCTCGAGCGCTCGCTGGGGTTCGTGTTCACRGGCACAGGGCAGCCTGGAGTGGGGCTTGTCGGACACCTGGCCTGGCCTGGCCGTGGCCAGATACGCTCCTGGGTTGTCTGTCAGCTTGGAGAAGGTATTAATGGAGATTCATAAAAATTAAAGAAAATTAATGGGAGTCATGCCTTAATGTAGGGTGCAGCGCTAGTTCTCTTCCTGTGACTGTTCTCCTGATGYTAAGATGCAATGAGGGAAAATCAAGCTAGACTCCATTCTCAGGCTTCATCCAAAATACATTATTATCCCAAGTGCACCTTAAAATAGTATTTCCTTAGATGCTTTTAAGCTACAAGAGAAATTTCCTGATGAATACTTTTCCAAAGAAGAAAAGCGAGTAAATCTGGATGTACCTACCAACCCATRTATTGTATAATCAGCTTTCTTTGATACCTCATTAAATAATTCCATGATGTGTAGCTTGAGATTTTGCATTGTTACTTTGAGAACAGTGACATCTATTGGACTTTTCCAGGTAATATTTGAAAAGATTTTTCTTTGAAATGAAGGAAAAAAAATGAAAAAAAATCTGCACCAAACCGATTTTCATGATTTGATGTTGATCAAATTTATGAAAAAGGTTCTAGTCACAGTCTAGTTCACAGACTTAGCCTAAGGAAGAGGACAACTCTAGCAGTTTCATTTCAGTCTCTGTTTTTAGGTGTTAGCATGGATATGTGCTCTACCTTACCTATTTTGCATGAGGCTGACACACCTGGCATTTGTTTTCATGGATTTTTAACACAACTTTTTAAAATATGTACGTTTTTGATTCTTAATTTTTTTCCTTTTGAAGCAAGCTTAAGTAAAATAAAAGCTTTGATTTGAAGGCCCTAAGCATACCTTCTTTTAAACAAATTTAYTTTTTTTCCTCCCCAGTTACTGGAATGCGGTGGGAACCTTTTTGATGCGATCTCTCTGGCTGTGAAGGCAGCTCTCTTCAACACAAGGTAAAGCACAGATCTTCCTTCATTTGGGTGGAAGTGGCATAGAGAAAACGAGAGCAGTGTTCTCTGTGAGCTAGGCATCTTGAATGCTTAATTTCTTTTTAAAGGAAGTCAGAAGCACCTCACACTCAGATGCATGGCAGTTTGTTTGCATGCATATTACATGAACTAGGGAAGTTAATCCGGGTTCTGATAATCTTCACCATTAGTTATCTACTCAGTCATGCTCAGACTGTAACTGCTGGTCCTGTAGCCGAGTCCTTGCTCCCCAAAATCATAGAATCATAGAATTCTTAAGGTTGGAAGGGCCCTTTAGAGATAATCTAGTCCAACCTCCCTGCACACGCAGGAAAAAAAGCTTATGTTGGCCTTAAGCTTGATTGCAGGTTGATGCTTTGTGGTCAGAAAGTCATTGTATCTACAAGTATGTGATGGTCCTGCATAAGAAGCCCTCTGTCAGTACAACTACCAATGTAGACCAGTCTTTGATTTCCCACTCGTGATGTTCTTTTACTGTTAGTCCACAGGTTTTGGGAAGCTGAGAGCAAAAAATGGTGGTAGGAGATCATGGAAGGAGGAAGTGATGTGCCTTTAGAATGACTGAGGTTCATGTGTTTTGGTTTAGGGAAGTGAAGAACAAATGCTCTGTGTGCATTTGGAGGACAACATCCATTAAAATATTTTTTCTGATGTTACCTTCACTGTAGATGAAAAGGAGCCTAGAGTTTCATGGCATCTTAGAAAGGAGCCAGTGAAGGGCTCTGAGAAATCTTATGTGTCCGGAACAGGAGCTGCACACRCTGGACTGTTAAAGCACCCATGTTCCAAAGTGGAGTTCACGTTGCTCTGCGGCTCCAACCCAGACCTCTGTCGAAGTCCCTGGCCCAGGTCTGACTTTCTCAWTAGGGAATCAGTACACAGCACTGGAGCTGGGAAACAACATGCCAGAAAGAAGAGAAAAATACACTTTCGAAGACACAGGCAGCATGTCAGATTACAGGAATTTAAATAAATGAGGAGGGATTCCTCAGAGACTAAAACTCTTGTATATTGCTGAGAAGCTTCCCATGTCAGTCAGGTTCTCAGTGGTACCTTTTAGCAGTAGATTGTTTCTGTAGCATTAAATATTCTTATACATGCAATAATTCCCAAAGATTTGACAGTACACTAAAAGAAGTGCCCACATCCTTGTGTGCCAACTGCCATGATACAAAACTCACAGCTAAGGCAGTTGCTTCCATATGGGTTGTTTGCAGATCTAAGACACTTTATTTATTGTAAGTAAATTATATTGTATAATTGAACTTGTTTCCTTACTTTAACCAGAATCCTAATACTTAATAAAGAGTATATGAAAAAAAGGAATGTTACTGTTAGAAAACAGATAATGTGGACAGTGATTGTTTTAATGATATGCTTAATTTTGATTCTTCCAGAAATTGCCTTTATATAATCTTTGATTTGTGGACAAACATCTTCAGCCTTATGAAAGCAGGCTATCAAATTGAAATTCTGTACAATTTAAAATAACTTAAGCTTATTGACTTTGACCTGCAAGAAGCCAGCCTATTCACTTAAGCAAGAACAGTTTGTGTGACTAATCTTGAAGTGCTTTAAGAAAGCAAAAGAAGAGAGAGAAGGCAAAAAAAAAAAAAAGAAAAAAAGAAAAAATTAATGAACTTAGAAATTCAGCTGACCTGATGAAAGTGAAAAGCTTATGTCCTCATCCACTCTCCCCACTTCACTTTACTATCTGCTGCGTTTCCTCTGGATTAATACAAGGTTATTTAGAGTAGCTGTCTACTCTTCCTAAAATATAATTGTCCAGTTAAGACTTAAGAATAATTAGATTTTAAAGATTTATGATCAGTTTAAGATCACTTCAGATTAAGTGCTTTAAACATAGCTTGACATCTCTGTCTTTTTTTCAGAGTCCTGCTTGCTCTTCATTGTTTGTTTTGATAGTTTGTTTACAAACAGGCTTTTTTTATAAGGGTTTCCAATCAGAAGCAGGAGCAGGGAGTTCAGGCTGCTGTGAGTTCGTGCTTTATTCTTCCTTGAAGTCATAACTTCTAGTGTTCACGTGGGCATTTGAAAAGCTCTGCTTCTTCAACTTTGTCATTAAAATCTAGCTCTTACCATTTTATAATATCCGGGGAGATATCCTTCCTTAGGGCTAAATAATTRCACACAGTAACTTCAAGAACTTTGCATAGGAATTACAGGATTTAAATCCATTGCATTTCTGCCCTGATTCGTTGTGTCCCATTCAGACCTGCAGCAATTAAAATAAGGCTGTTCTAGGGGTCGTATTTAATCTGTATAATTGTCCTTTGTTCAAGATGTTCTAAAAACTGAATCAAAACTGTGTCTGAGTGGTAGCAGATACCATTGTTCTTAACTGTGTGTCTCCAAGGCACTTAAGGCTGCATTTATCTGTGACCAAAGGGGATATTGCATGAATGTACAAACAGCTTTAGTTCCAGGACTTAACATTAAACTCAGGCCTGTGGGATGTGCTAAACTGAGGAGACAGAAGCAAAGTAAAGGTCAAAAGCTACCTAGTTTTTAGCAGCCTATCCTTGAAACGTGRTGCTCTTCTGCTGGATGGCAGGATGAGGATGGAGCTGGTGGAATGGGTGCTGCGGTTAGGAAAGCTGGGCCCCCAGGGCAGTATTTAGGTGCTGCTGCACAAATTGCTGCACCCATTAGCTGTGAGGTTCAAGTGTGCAGAATAAACATGTACAGCTAGTTTTTTTCCCTAGGATAATTTTTCACAAACCATGAAGAGRGATGTCAGGTTTTGTGGAAGTGCTCCCTATGCTACAGACACTGTCAGCTTTGCCCAGTAGGATCCTCTGGGCTTGGGTGTCTCCTTYGCTGTGCCCTTGGGGCATCTGTATCTGCTTGGGTGCCTTTCTACCTGTGCAGTAATTCTGATCCAGGCCTTAAGCTCTTCTGTTCCTTGCTAAAACAGCTTCTTCTGGGGATTTTTTCAGGTATTAATTCTGGCAGCTTAGGATGCTGCTTCTAATTGTTGCAGAGCACATGTTGCTCTGGTATCAAATGTGATGTGTCCCATCTTCCTTTCAGTTGTAACACTGCTTGGGCTCTTTTTTTTTTTTTGCCTAGGCTTTGTTCAGTGTTGGCCATTGGCCCTTGTAGCTTGAGGATTAGTCACTTTGAGATTTTACTCCAGCAATTTTAATRGGATATTTTAGTTTAAGACTAGGGTTTGTGTTTCGGTTGAGCTCTTATGTAGTTCTCAAAGCATTTTGAATTTAATTTCATGGAGAAATTTATGCAGTAGTTGTTGTTCTTACAGGAAGCTTGTACTTAGAGCTTGGTTTGGGCCCACAGCACGTGGAGAATTTGTCTTTCTCCCTAAGCAAAAGGAGCTGTTGTGAAGTGCTTGCCTCAAGGACTCTTAGCTATGGATAACTGAAATACTTTTTCAGARAACAACAGAAATCCATTTCCTTTGCTGCAGATCAGTTCATTAAATCACCCCCAATATTCTCCTCCCTCAGGAACGATCTGATGTCTTTCCTGAAAGAGAATGTGTAAAAGAATGTAACCTCCAGAGTCTAATTATATGGCACAATTCTACTGCAAAAGAACTAATACAGAAGCAGTTTGTGGTTGCCTTCCACGGGGTTACTGAAGTTGGCTTCCCAGGGATGTCATGAAGTGTTCTCTGTTCTCAAGTGCAAGTGTGTAAAAGCGGGAGTTGAGCTGAGCTCGGGCGGGGGATTACTGGCCACTAAAGCAGAGGGTCTGCTCTGCCTGTCCCTTTTGCCTCTGGGCACAATACTGTGCCTGGTGGACACTTGGATTTCTCTGCACATATAGCAGCTTGGGATGGGAAAGGCAAGTGACCATTAAAAAAAAAAATGGGATACAAGATCTTGAAGTTCTTGGCTCCTCGAAATACCACCTCCTGCTAAATTGTTGTGTTTGTATTCCTTATGCTAGAAAAGCTGTATCGAATCCTCATGTAGAACTCCTATCAGGAGGCTATAACGTGCAGGGTGTTTGCCCCTGAGAAGAAGCCTGCTCATAGTGAGAGATCTAGACACTCACAGTAGACAGGGAAGCACCTCTTGGATTTCTCCCTGGGTTTTCATCCCTGATACTTGTTCTCCTATGTTTAGCTCTAGAGTAGTGGAGACTTACAATGATTTCAGGAATGACAGTGTCTTACTGACCTTCCCAACGTGCTAGAGAGAGGGAATTTTACTAGTGTCACGTTTGTACTTTCCCTCAGGCTCTGTAGTTAATGCCATCCTTCCTGCGCAGCTCGGCTGCTTTGCTCTTTGGTGCTGGTGTCATTGCCAAGCAGTGTAAGTGCTGCAGTTCTGCCACTTCACTGCTGCCTGCAAGCCGGGAACTGCCCTGTGAGATGGTTCCATTTGGATAATGTCTCTGCTGTTCTCTAAAGAAGCCTATGCAGAAATATTCAGAATTGCAATATRTAAGCTCTGAAAGGCAACGCTGAATCTCTGTTTGCTCGCCTATGACACAGTAGAGAATTCAAATTAAAATCTAATGCTTTGAATGATGCATACACATGGTCTCATTCTAAATATTTTCCCACTTACATGGGCTCAGGGGGTTGATTGTTAGTGCTTTGATAACATTCCAGGTTATTTTTTTCTTCTAACATCTCACCTTATTTAGAGAAAAGGCCACTTGCTGGAGTTGAGACTTACAGCATGCCTCTATCTCTTAYCTGTTCCAAGAGTGATGGGTTGTTTGCATGTCCTTCTGTTTGCACAGAGTGCCCAAGGTGCGTGTGTTGGAGATGGACGAAGGCTCCAAAGAGATTGAGCTCTCTGATGACCCCTACGATTGCATTCGACTCAACGTGGACGAGGTGCCCTGCATCGTCACGCTGAGCAAAGTAAGCTGCACAAAACGGCGCCTGCTGCCGAGACACTTCAGCCCACTTGAGCTTCAGCTGCTTGGGGGTTTCTTTAGAGATAAACTGAATTGCAGAAAGGGGAGGTGCCCAGGATGTGTATATATTTGTTCAGCCTTGCTGCTGTTTTGATTAGAAGGAGCTTTTTCTGAATAAGGATTTTTCTTATTCTGACTTGCAGTTTTCCGCTTCCTGCATGCTTAAAGTCTCTTTTTGCCAGCAGAATTGCTTGTTGTGCATTCATCCCCAGTGCTCAAAAGCCAGAGCAGCAGATACTTCCGTAAATTACAACAAATGAGTGTTGTTGTGAGCATTGAGCAATCTGTCGGGAGTCGCAGGACGACTTTTACTGCTGGGGACACAGCTCTTTTTGTGGGTGTAGCACTGTCCTTTCCTTTCAAACCAGTGCTGTGCTTCTCTCCCTTCAGTTACATACGTGCAGTCAGGCTGGGCTCAGAAGCTGCTTTTAAGGGCTGTGCTGCCTGTACAGAGCTATCCCTGCCAGCTTCTSCAAAGGGCCCAGACAGCTGCAAACTAACGGGTAACCTTGTCTCTAACTTGCAGATTGGGTATAGGCATGTGGTGGATGCCACCCTTCAGGAAGAAGCCTGTTCTTTGGCCAGCCWGCTTATTTCTGTGACCAGCAAAGGTGCTCTCACTTGTATGAAGAAAGTGGGGAAAGGTAGCCTGGATCCAGAGAGTATCTTCGAGATGATGGAGGTGAGTTTTGAAGAGTTTCTGTCTTGGGGGATACTGAACAAACTGGAACTTGAGTCAATGGGAAGCTGCAATAAGGACTTTAAAGCACCAGCAGTTCTGCTCTTATTAGTGCCCAAGGGGATTTGTTGAAGGTCCCAGGCAGTGCCTTTGAAACAGAATCTCATAGGGATGGAAGTTATTTAAAACTTTCAGATGCCCAAGACGTATGATTTATTTAATGCACACAGTGTAAGCACCTCACAGCTGTAAAGCTTAGGTTGATAAACTTTAAGACATTTTTAGAGAATGTTTCTTCCTTGTTTTTTTTTTCTTTTTCCCTGAAAAGCAGAGAAGGCAGAGAAAAGGCCCTGTAGAACTAGAGATGGTTCTTCAAGGTGCTAGTACGTTACGTTCTGTTGTAACACCGCTCATTTTGCTTGTGATAAGCTTACCGTTCTCATTTAACTATTGTTTTTCTTTGCTTCTTTATTGAGTTTTTGATTTGCTCCTACCCCATGACAATACTGTTATCTGGCTGTTTTTCACATCCACATGAGAATTCAATTTCAAACATTTCTCCAGGCTGTTCTCAAAACTCTTGAGTTCCRGTATAAATTCTCATGCCTGGCCTTGGCCTTAAGCAGTAGACAGAAATGCGTTTTGAACGTTGAGTCAGAACAAAAATTAAATACTTAAAACTGTCTTTGTTTTCTAGAGATGTAAAACTAATACTGGCATAGCTGTAGTGAGGAATGCAGGAATTGGAGCCAAGCTTGAAAACAACTAGTTTCAAGTGAAATTCCATGTTGAGTAGATAAGTGCCTTATCTAATCCACAGTGCTAATCTTGGTGTTACCCATGGGCTATTTATTTACATCTAGTGAAGTCACCCCCACTTAACGTCATCTGAGTAGATGCAGAGGAACTTCCTGTCCATTCTGGCATCCTAAAGAAACCAACTGTGGCCAATCCTTGTGTCTCCCTGGTGGCTTTTGAGTCTAACTAAATACCTAACTCAGTTCTAACTACATGTCGTACAGAAGTTCAGGTTTAGGTTGTAAAGCTGCTATGAAAAGATGGATGTTTACGTYAAATTCAGGTTTGTGGTGGAAGCTCACTCCCATATAGATCATCTGATAACTAAATGAAGAAAGATTTTAATCAGAGCCACTACTTTGATCATCCATCTTATTCCACACTGAACTCTTAACTAGGAAACAAAGTCCCGGAGTTCCAGAATTCAGCTGGCTAATTTGGATGTGGGCTTGTGTCTGATGCGAGTTCGACCTGGAGCAATCCAGTGGTACTCGGATCTGGCATCGATGATCCCAGAGACCCTTTCTGAGGAATGGGAGCGCTACCTCTATGCACACCTTTTTTTTTTCAAAAATTAAATTAGGATGAGACTTCCAGTATTATTTTTCTTAATTAAAGCTTGTTTTTCTTATAGCAGCTGGTGTATATTAATCATTAAGAGGAAAATATTTGTCAAAGGAAGTGTTCCATTTGAGTTRTCTTCCTGTTTATAAGCATGTCTCTCTCAGACTTGTTTTGCTTTCTTTCTCTTGCAGACGGGAAAGAGAGTGGGCAAATTGCTGCACGCCTCCCTACAGAAGGTTTTGGATGAGGAAGAGCGTTTGGGGACCACACGGCAAAAAGTCGGGTTTCTAGGATGAGTTTTTATTAAATGTTCAAAACTTTTCTAATTTGATTGTCCGTTTGTGCATGGAAAAAGGATATTTTTGTTCCAGCACCTGCATCCKTCCAGCTCAGCAGTTTCTAAAATGTTGCTAAGCCTGAGGAAAGCTACATTTAAGTGTGAATAAGGAAATTGGTGGTGCTTTCAAGCCAGATGAGTGTCTGCACATAAGAAGCACAGCAACAGCAATAGATGCAATTCCTGGGAATTGGCTGGTGTAGCCTCCAGGTGTGGGGATGTCCTCAGTGCGCAGCCCAAGCCAGATTTGGGSTCTTCCAGGGTTATTTTTTATTATTATTTTTGTTCCTCAGCCACATAATTTTTCSTACTGGGGTAAGAATACTGTGTTTGGCAGAAGTCTTCCTTCAAATCTCTTACCTCCCTTTGAACAAAATGCGGTTAAGTTTTACTCYAGATACAACCTGGTCCCACCTTTCCACTTTCTGGTTTGAAGCAGAGTTTCTTTGCTAGCAGAGCCCTGCCCATCCCTTTGACAATGGGTACAATAGTCCCTAGCCAAAATCTCCTGGTCTCTGGGGAGATGGGCATAGCTCATGTAGGAGGTAAGATGAATGAGTGGTGAAGAACATAGTAATTCARCTGGAGAAGCATGGTTGCTATCAGGAATGGTGCTTTGCATCCCGTGCTGGGGCCAGAGCTGCGCRTCACTGCTGTCCATCTCCACCCCTGTCCTCCTAAGTAAGTGTCCTCCACTGGCCCACGTGCAGTGACATGGGCAGTGAATGCAGGTGTCTGCTGGACCAGGCCGCAGTGAAAAGCAAGATGCTTGTACAGYTTGGGATACGGGGAGGGCCCTTGTCCTTCTGTGGCCTTTTCACAAAGGCAGGTTCCAAATGGACTGCATCGAAGCTAGGAGGAAGGGAGAAAGCCGCCGTTCTGAGACCATCACCAGCTCTTCACAGCGATAGGTGCCCTGCACCAACTGGCAGGCGCAGCAAAGAGCAAGAGCTCTTCCTCCTGTGGGGCAGGAAGAAACAGCGAATGGGAGAGTCTGAAGAAAGAGTTATGTTGCAAGAATTCAAATAAACATTAAGGCAAAAGCTCTGTGACAATCCAGGAATCATTTGGCTCTTACTCAAGCTGACTCCTCAATTTCCTTTTTTAGTTTCCTACTGCCAGTAGGATTCTGTCAAAYGGAAGGTAGGGACTGTTGGGGAGAAGGGGAATGTTTTCTGCAACAGACCTGTGATCCAGGACAAAACATGGTGCAACTTTAAATGAATAACCACAATCATGTTAAAATATATGGAATCCTTCAGATTGCAAACAGCCCTTGCCCTGGAGCAAACGTTCAAGGTACCCTTAATGTTACAGTGTGCCTGGCACCTATGGGTAGCCACCATATTAAACTGTATGATGAACAGTCATATTAAAAACAAATAAAACTCAATCCATAAAATTGGCATATGATGTTTGTTTCAAAGGGTTTTTTTTCAGTACTTTATATAATGTATAGGATATGTCCTGTATGTATCCTTATATAGGTTATGTCCTGTATTACTGTGAATATGAATTGTCAATTGCCAATGAATATGTACAATTGTCTTTAAACCCTGCTACAGAGTAATTTTTCTTGGGGCAAAGACTAACTTAGCAGCCTGTTAAAACAGCTGCAGTCTGGTCCTGGCTGGGCAAAGCTGCTTGTAAGGGAGTAGAAGAAAGTAAAAAGCTGAAGGAAGGACAAACATGTGCCTCATTTATCAYAGGCAGGTTTTTTTGTTTGTTTGTTTCATCATGTATTGTTTAATTTTCCAGAAAATAGCTAGCCTAGATGAGGTGTGTTCTTAAGCCACAGCTGACCTCTGAGCTGTTGTCTCCCTGTGGCCTGTTTCACTGCAGTTCTGTGGTACCAAAAGCTTCCCAGCACTACTTCTGGGGTGAACACTGTAATGTGTTAATTAATGATCAGCGTGTTTCTGCACATCCTTGCAGCCAAATGAAGGAGCTCCTGCTGTTCCTGTAAGTTACTGATGGGCGTGTTGGCCCTGTGCCCCCTTAGGTCCTCCCTTCCAGAGGGTCTGTGCGAGCCGGGCGCTTAAAGCACCTCCTGAAGGGCCCGTTCCCTCACGTGGCGCCGGAGGCTGTTCCTGCCCCGAGCCGTGAGCTCCGAGCCAGGCCAGGAGCCCTGCACAGCTCCCCGCTGTCCTCAGCAGCCCCTGGGCATCYGCGGCCACCAACCCATCTCCTCAGAGCATGAACAGCTCCCACAGGGAGAAACAGGCCTACAGCCCTCCCAGCCCGTACATCTGCCAAGGAGCCCTTCAGGCCGTGGTTCGCAGGCCTGTCGCACTGTGCTGCCCCCCATATTTCCCTTTAATCCCTCCCCTCCATCCCCAAACGAAAACAGCACTTGGAGATTTTTAGCAGAGGTTTCAACCAGGACGGCTCCYGTTCCCAGTCGGGCTGGTGGAAAGTTCCATGTGTTGCTGTGCAGATATTGCCACGTTTTCATTGACTCGAGGCCAGCAGAGCTAAGAGGAAACATCTGTGGAGCAGGAGCGTTCAGTGTTTGTCCCAGAAATCTCTAATTGCTTCTGTTGGGAGTGTCGAGTGGCTGGAAGTTGTGCACTAGAGCTGAGGAGTCCGGCAGCTCCTCCCGGGCTTGCACTTGCGTTGACATTTATCCTTTTTTCCCTGTGTGTCCCAGCCTAAGGTTTGTTGGACGAGTACAGCTTACTCGCAGCTGGAGGAGGGCTATTTTGTAGGTCCATGGGTCTGTAATTTGTTTTCACGGGCCTCCAGATCAGTGTTTGTGGTGAAGGCGACACTCAGYGAGCCAGGCAGCCTCGTGAGCTGGTGTTTTGCAGCTCCAGCAGCCATTCAGCACAGTAGTGGGGTAGTGGAARGCAAAGGGGATTGCTTGGATGGGATCTGAGGCAGGGGGATGCTGCTTCTGGATGGGATTTGAGGCAGGGGGGAAGAGGGAGGCTCCATGGCACCTRCATTAAACCATCTGCCTCAGCACAGTGGTTCTGCAACCAGGTTTATGCCTCTGCTCCTAGCAGGGAATAGCCCCGTGCACCAGGACAGGCTGGGAGCAGCTCTGAGGAGAAGGAGCTGGGAGTGCAAGTGGGCGACGCGGTGAGCACGAGSCAGCCAGGTGCCCCCTGGCCAAGGCCGCTGCTCTCCCGGGTGCGTTCGGCAGAGCGATGCCAGCAGCTTGAGGGGAGGAGACCCTCAGCCACGGACACGACCACGTGCAGCAGGCTCTGGGTGACCTGCTCCTGCAGGAGGCTTGGAGGAGATCTCCAGAGTCCCTTCCAGCCTCAACCGTTCTGGGACTCCATGATTCGGCATCTTGATCTGACATGGATAATATCGCAGGGAGTTTCTGCATTTTCTCTGCAGTAGGGTAAGTAGGAAATGGTGGGACTTACGCCACCATTTAGGGCTGCCTCCAGTTTTTCTAGAAAACTTCAGTAGACACCACCTCTTTTTCAAMAGCGGGATTTTTCTAAGTTCTGCATGATACCATGCTGGTCATAAACTACCACTGGTCCCCAGAGAGGGGACAAGAATCAGTGCAAGTCTGTGACTGGTGAGACCTGAGTGGAGAGAGCCCTGGTCCTTACCCCCTGTGCCTTGTAGGATGATTTTTGTAAAATTAAAACTTCAATCTCCCAAGCCTCAGTCTTTGGTCTGGTCCCAGGCAGGAGGGTGCTCATTCCCAGGCCTGAGTTCACTCACTGAATACTTRCTGCTTCCTGATGGAAAAGTGGATTTTCAGCTGTTGACTTTCTAAACCAAAGTCTCTGCACAATCACCAAGTCAGCAATGAGTGAGATCCCGGGATATGGTTAGGCATAACCCCATGGACATTCGAGAACCATGTGGCATGTGGGTTTACTTCTCATACGGAGCTGGGGCCTAATAACAGTGAAGCAGGTCTCTGCTGAGCCTCCTCAATCACAGCTTGAGAYGACGGGAGCGATGCCCCAGGTCTTGTCTGCCCGGGTTCTGCTGGAACCGCTGTGCTCCACAGTGTGGCAAAGTGTGTCTGAAGTCACTACGGGAGGCTGGCTAAGCCAGGTCTGCAGAGAACGGCACCCAGCAGCCATGTCCTGCACGTCCAAGGCAGGCCTGGCTCAGGAGAGCGACGTAACCAGAGCCTGTGACTCTCCCAAAAGCAAAAATTATTATTCCTTCTAGGCCAGTGTTCTGACAGCACCCCAGTTTAAATAGGCCAGACCCCTGATGAGGGATCTAAGTCACAGATGCCCAGTTTTCAAGGCATCAGCAGCTCTTGCTGGTTTCAGCAACTTGCAAACAGAGAAAAGCCCAACTAGGAAAGTAGGGCACTTAGATACCCATCTTCTCACAGAGAGACTAGTGCCTACTACCTCTGATTATTGTTGTTATTAATATTATTATTAATTAACCATATTTCTAGCTATCCAGTAACAAGGACATTTTTATGCCCCTACAAAATAATGCTGGAGTCTTAACTAGACTGCCATTGATGACTCTTCATTTATGCTTTTAAGCGCGACTTCATAGACTGGAACACTTTAACAGGACAGAGGCTATCCCAAGAGCTCTAAATATTTCTATTTGTCATCCTGTTCATCCCGTTCTCGAGGTTAGGGTAAGATCAGCAATGCAGGCCCCTGAGAGTTTTCATGTAACACCAGTGGTAGATCGGATTTGATTTCCCTCGTTTAGACACAAAAGTTCATGGTTACCAAGACCCCACAGCTGATGCCTTGGGAGAAGAAAAAAGAAAAGAAATCTTGGCCATTTTGTGATGTGCAGAGACCTTCTTTCGGCCATTTGCCATTGCAGGGGCCAATGCTTCTGGAGACAGGCCAGTTGTGCATAGGTGCTGGGCTCTCCCTTCCAARGGACATCCCTTCTCTCACACAATGYTTTCCCAAGGTGTTTTGGTAAACAGTGAGTTTTGATAGAGCCGTGCTTGGCACCCTTATGGGTGTAAAAGYCATGATTTAAGTCTTCTAAGGTCTTCTGAAGCTTCTCTCCGTTGCTCCTGCTGGGATCAGCTTGAATCTGATGGAGCTTCTCAAGAGCATGCTACACTCTGGGAGGGCAGTAAAAGAGGATGGTAAAGGGTTGCTTTCTCCCTGCTATCTGGGCATGCAAGCTTTTCTCTATACCCACACAAGTTAAGTGTGTAAGGCTTATGGTGAAATTCTGTTGCAACCCCTTAATTCAGCAACCACATCTCGGTGAAAGGAAAGCAATCACTCAAATATGAGAGCGATTTGCAGTAAGATCCTAATCTGGCATTACTGCCATCTGCTTGTCAGCACTAAAATACTGGCTTTTATTTCAACACCAACTTCCACTAATGCTGAGGTGGTTTCTTGCAGCCTGGCTAAACTGCTCAGCGAACCCACACAGTTAGGAATTTCTACAGAGTTTCAGTATTAGATTTAGGCATTTGGCTGCATTTTTCCACTGTCTGGTCAGACTTTTAGGAGGATTTAGATGGCAGGCACATGAAAGAAAGGCRGCGAAGGAAGACAGATTTCCCCCTTGCCCACAGGAGTCTGGATGCTCCAGGCAGAAGTGGGGTGAGTCCTTCGGTGCAGCAGCTTTTGAAAACACGAGGACTTTGAGAGGCAGCTTGCACCTGAACCCAAGCTCTCCACAKTTGGCTGGGATCCAACGTGAAGCCCACGAACCTCCTTTGACACCGATCCTTCTGTCCTGTGGCCTCCGCAGAGTCAGGGAATAGGGAAGCGTTCATGTCTGCTGCAAGATGCAACGGAAAGGTCCCTGCCTAGGCTCAGAGCCGGTTTCCTGGTGATGTTGGCACTGGGTATAATGTTTTGGCAAAGGGCTGACTCCCTCATTTCCCCCAACATTGTCCGCATGAATACCAACCATTTCCTCAACTGTTATTGCACTCCATCTGGATCAGTCTCAAAAACAGTGATCCATAAATTCAGTTCTTTCCATTTTTACCTGTTGTGATGTTGTTTATGCTGATAAGTCCACTGAAACTCTGCAAACACAGTTATATCTGGTCCACCCTTCTACTTTCTAGCCATGGCACAGAGGCTCTCTCTCATGTCTTGGCCTGGCAGTACCCACTCATTTCCTAGGAGCTGAACCAAAATAGTCTCTGATCTCGCTGCCCATTTCCTTGCTTAGCTGGGCACGAAATCACAGSTCAGCAGCGTTGCCAGAAGGATCCAGTTTCCCTCCACAGCCTTATTCCAGCCACTGTTTTGCTGACTGAAATCCCTCCAAGTTCAGCATCACAGGCTACTTCTTGGGTTTCCCAAAGCCACGTAAACTTTTCTGACTGCTTCCCTTCCCCTCCAGTGCACTGTTCATTCTTTCCTGCAGCCCTGGGACCTTCTCCCTAAACTTATTTTCTTTTGCCCTCTTTCATCTCAGCTAATGGGAATTGGGTCTGCCTGGGTGGGAAACAAGGGAAGTGTTTTACTGGGAAGTGAACTTCATAATCCCACAGGTTTAAAAAATCATAGACACAAGCGGGTTGCTTGGCATATCATAATCTTCCTCCCTCTCGCTAATCCCTCGATAAATAAAGCATCTCTTTCTTTCCTCATGAGGTAATTTCTCCTCTCCAACCCCTTTTTGGTGTCTCTCCATGAGCAGCTTCTGTGTCTTCCCTGAAGGACTAAAGGCTCAGCTGTTGTTTTTGAGTTCTGAAATTTGCTGCCTCCATTTCAGCCCTGCAAGGAAGGGCTTGTGTGCCCAAAACCTCACCTACTTTTTCCAGTTATATTAGCCCATCTAATAAAAAGCATTGCTGCTGCTGCTGAGGAGGTGAGGATTACCTTACCCCTCTGTCCTCCTATGCCTTTCTTGCATAATAAGCGTGAATCACCCRGCGCTCAAAAGCGTTTTATCTAGCCAAGGAGACAGCTTGCTTTCAGAGAAGCACCAATATTTATAAGATGTAGCTGGAACTGCAGTCTGTGGGCACAGCAAGGGCCCAGGCAGGGGCACGGAGGGCACAGGCCTCGTGCTCCTTCACGGAGACGCCCCGATGCGGGACACGGGCCTGGGCCGTCGCGGCAGCACCGCAGCGAGGCCTTCCTGCGGGCCTGTGAGCCGCCAGGATGTCCAGGTTTGAGGGGCTTTTCAGTCTATTTAAGACAGAATTGGGGCAAAGCCTTTCAAATTCCACATTACAATCAGGTGCAAGCTTTAAAACTTTTTTTTTTTCCCCCCAAGACTAAACTCYGGTATTTGGTGCTTTTGGCAGTCCCACCTAGGATGGATCCAACGTGGGACCCGTGGGCCGGCAGGAGAAGCCTCCCGATGCCCCGGCCGGTGCCTTGGGACCCCGCGCCCACCCCGGGGCTGCAGCRAAGCCTCATCTCTCCCCGGGCTGCCATTCGTGACCCGTCCCCATGTGGCACCTGCAGCGGAGGAGAAACTTCCTCGTGGAAACCACAGGCCTCCTGGGCCCCCTCAGCCCCAGGCACCAGCTCTGGAGCACAGGAGGGCTCCTGGTGCGGAGCTGGGAAGCGCCGAGCGAGTCGAGCCAAGCAGCCCTGAGGGGGAAGAGCCYGTCTCAGCCACGGGCCTGTGCTCAGCGGTGCTGAGGATCTCRTGCCACCTCACACAAGGGGCTGGGCACTGCGGAAATGCGTCGCTCCAGCTGGTTCCTGCCACCCAGACACCCTGCGGATCGGAGCCATCAGCTAACGCYTCATTAGAGTCAACTAATTAATTTTACATGTAGCAGCAAAGGGAGAATTTGAGCTTTTCCCCATTGGGCAGGAACATTAATCAACGAAAAGGCATGTGAGCAACTCTGGAGCCAAGGAAAACCCGGCGGTGCTGAGCTGACCAGAAGTACTGTGGATGAGCAGATGCTGCCCAAGCACGGAGGGGAGGGAACTTGTGGGCATCCGCGTGGGTGTCTGGGAGCTCTTGAGCTCCATCTTGGTTTGGGGTGGTGCAAGCAGGAGCTTAGTAAATCCCAAGAAATCCCTATTCTTTTGCTTAAACCTGTGTGGGACCGTGTGTGTGTGTGTGTGTGTGTGTGTGTGTGTGTGGAAAAGAGAAATGAAGAGCAATCCCATTCTCCCTTGGCTTCAAATCTGGACTGCAACTGAACAACATTCATGTTGGATGGAAGGCCAGGGTTTTCCCTGTTCACCAAAAGTGACACAATTATAGCCAAATGAAATCAACAGCATTTTTTTTTCCAGGTGCAGCCCCGTTTAGCTCAAACATATTTATGCCTATAAAACTCCAGAGGGACAGGGGGAAAACAGCTTTTGTGGGAGAGTTTCARCCACACCAAGTAAAGCTCTCAGCCCTCACCCTTTTCACCTCTAAAAGCCTGAACACTTCTTCTCAAAACCAAACTAAACCCACATTTTGAAGCACATTTCCAGGCTCATGCAGGGGGTAGACCCCCACGCACAGAGCCGCGCTCTGTTGCCGCCCTGCAGCAGCAGGTCCCGGGTCAGACCAACACACTTGTTTTCCAGGAATATGCTCCTTGTTCCTCCCCAGAGCATTTCACAGGCCGGGGCTGGTTTCCCAGGGTGTCTCTGGGCAGGTTGAAGGGAGACAGCCGCGTGTCCTGGTTTCACCTGGGCTCCTGTGTGAGCGCAGCCTTGGACGGARGCTCCCTCATGCCTCAGTCTGGGAACAAGCGTGGCTGGGAGCCTTGGATGAGGCGGTGCAGTAATTAACATGGATGCTCTTTCCAAAAGTGAGCAGAACTTTTCCCTGGCTTGTGGCCTAGCTGGAAAAAAAAAGGAGGAAGAATCATAGAATGGGCTGTAAATGTGTCAGTAAAATCCCTTCCCCGACAGCAACCTGCTCAGAAACAGTCCGCCCAGCCCGTGCCACCGGCTSCTGGACAAGCAGCACAATCCTCTCTCTGCTGTAGGTTGCCACCACCCTCAGAAACCAGGGGTGCTGTTTGCTGTGGTGGCCTCCGCCAGCCCCAGGCTGCAGGTGACCCAATGTGTGGGCTGGTCATGGTGGGGAACATTGGCCTCTGGGCTCTGCTTAGGGCCCCAGGCCCCGCTGAGGTGCCCCAAAGCCCCTGTCCTGAAGGGTCTGCCACACAAGCAAGGGGYGTTCAGGGCACATCTGCCCTCCTGACCCTCCCGGGTGGGACCCAAAATCAAGCGAGTGGCTTCTGCTGCAACAACCTGTGATTTGATTCGATTCGATTGATTTTATCCAAATCCATAGGAAACGAGCCTGGCTGCCCTCCTAACCTTTTTCTCTACTTAGGTCAGACTCCTCTCAGCAAGCTTGGTCTTTCCTTAAAAAAAAAAAAAAAAAATTGCTAAGGAACAGAAGCGGCGCCGGAGGCCGGCGGCCRGGAGGCCGCTCCTGGCGCGCTCCCAGCGGGAGGCTCCGGCGGGCCGGGCGCGTCCCGTTAAAGCGGGGGCGGCTGCGGCGGGCGCCACTCGGCCGGCAGCGGCATGGCGCTCCGCGGAGCCTGCCTGCTCCTCTGCCTCGCGGCCCTCGCGCACCTCTCCGCGCAGCAGAGCCACAACGGCAAAGCCCGCCAGAAGCCGCCCRCCTCCAAGAAAGGTAGGGAGCCTCGGCACCGTCCCTCCGGGGGATGATGCTTCACTCTCCTAAAAGTGCTGGGATTGATTAAACTGTTTTTTAAAAGCGCTTAAAATCCAGCAGAGCAGACTTTTTCCATAAAAAAAAACATAAATTGCATGGTGGTGTTTGCCCTGGGTTTTCTCCAAGCTGGCCCTGAAGCTAGTGCTGCTGAGGTCTCTGCTTCTCCAACCCCACTGCTCCCACCCCTTCACTCTGCAGAAGGAAACAAGTGGTGGACGGCAGGCAGTTCTTGCAGATTTGGCAGTGGGAATAGGCAGACAAGAGGAGCAATATATCAGTTAGTCATTAAATATCAGCACAGATCTTCATTTTGAAACATTTGCCCCAAGTCTAGATTAAGCTGTGCAAGAGATCCCTCTACTCAGGTTTGCTACAGAGCTACAGGCAAAGTGCCCCAGGTCCCAGGAGTTTTGGGGGGGATTTCCTCTTGTTTTTCTTCCTGCTCTCCAATGCTTTCTTTCTCTCTCTCACACAATGCACATAAGTTAAGGACAACTCAGGGGAGTAAGAGGTTTGCAGTGCTGCCCATAGATGTGTGATGCTATTATTTGGTCGATGTATTGCCCCGTAGTTGTGTGAGTTCAGATTCCTTGAGCAGATTCCTTCCTCAGTCTGCAGCAAGCTTGAAAAAGAAACACTTGAGGAATTCACTTGGCTGGGCTCCTCCTGTACACGCTCCCATTGGCTATTTTTTGACGGATCTCGTCTTTGAGAAATTTCTCCAGTTTTCTCCAGGCAGATCTTCTGGGAAATGGCTACGTATTTGCTCACTCCGCCTCTGTGCTCTACTTTCAGGCTGAGGCTGATATGGAGTACATATGTGCAGAGCACTTAGCAGTTGTCCCAGGTAGGGGAGACGAAATAAATCTGGTTTCTTGCTCCATCTCATCCAAATTTCTGCTAGGAACCAGATCATGATAACAGGGCTCATGGTAGCAGGGCGGTTGCAGGGCTGGGGCACTTTGTCTGGTGGCTTTGCTGTGGAGCCAAACCACAACGCTAGAACCGAAAAAGGCGCCTTACACCAAGCTGGTCCGTCCGTCCGTCCGTCCGTCCGTCCTTCCTTCCTTCCCTCCCTCCCTCCCCCCCTCTTTTTTTTATTTGTAATTATTGCTTGTAGTGGGTCTGTTTCAAAGCAAAAGCTGTGTTTGGAAATGAAAAAGCCAAACCCCAGCGTATAGAAAATGCTGAAATCTCAAGTTCATTTTGCCCTTTTTTGCTGCTGTTGTTCTTGTTGTTGTTTTTCTCCCTCCAATTGCTCCCGGTGTTTTTCCCAGCGGTGTCTCAGCACAGCCTCCCTGAACAYGTGTGGGCAGGGAGCTTCCCAGGGATGCGGGGCTCCTGCGGACAAGGGGGAGCAGCGGCAGGACACAAAGGGACAGGAAGGGCTAAGCAACCCAAATCCAGCTTTTAAAGATACTTAAATGATGAAAATAGTGCACAGAAGGAATAATTTAGAATCTAGTATACAATTAGAACACAGAAAAACTGGAGAGAACTCCCATTTGTAGGCACAAGTATATTATTTATGAAGCTTTCATAACTAACTGAACGTTGTGACCCATCTCCTTGGTGAGTCTCTTCTTCATGTTGCTTCTGCTAGTATTTAACTTTGCTTTACCCAGGATTTTCTCCAGCTTCCATGGACAAAATTGGCAGCCTCCACACTGACTTCAGTGAGAGCCAAACCGAGCTGCAATAGCCTTGATCATAGACTAGGGAGAGGAGCCTTGAGAAAAAAAACAGCACACAGACAAGAATTTCTGGGAAAAAAAAAAAAAAAAGAGAGAAAAGTCAATGTTTGTTGACATAGTTGTGGTACTTTTTTTAGTTGAAGAGCGAATTAACCACCGAAAAAGAGTTACCAGGAAAAAAAAAATAGCTCTTTTATGAAAATACATCATTTCATTGTTCTGGAGAATGAGATCTAACAGCTACTTGTCATTATGTCAAATGGTAAGGGGTCCGTTCTTCACTTCCAAGCCCCTGACAAATGGTTGCTCACTCCATTAAGACAATCCCTTAATTAGTTAAGTGGAGGAACAACTTTTAAGAACAACTAAGTCCCTTAGTTAAGTGGAGGAACAGCGTTTTGCCAGGTGAGACAAAGAGCCCCATGGAGCTCGCTGCTTGCTGGAACATCTCATGGCTAAGGATTTGCAAGCGAGGTGGGAAAGGGCATGGAAGCAGGGACCTGGGCAGCTATCAAGAACACCTCTGATAGCAGCTGACAAGTATCCTCTAGCACAGGAACTTTCCCTTCAATCCAAAAGGAACAACCTAAGAAGCTGCTCCAGCAAGWCTCATTAATGACACCTTTCTATGGCCTTTGGACATTATTTAAACCTAAAAGACACTCATCCCATTCCATTAGGGAAACCTCCAGAGAAGCCATGGAAAAAAAAACTGCATTAATTAGCTGTTTCCCCACAAAATGTTTCATCAAAGGCACCAAAATAATAATAGGGCCTCAGTGTTCACTAAACCCGTTAAAGTTAATTGAGCCATAACTAAAGTAGCTGAATACCCTCCTCCTCGTGTGCTTGGTCCTTTCACATTCTTGGCGCGCTATCATCTTCTTGGTTCGTGGTTTTGTTGATTTTCCAAGCWGTTTCTGGTTCCCTCAGTTAATAACTCAGCCCATCATCAACTTGATCTTCAAGGAAATCTGTCCTACTGCTTTCATGTGAAAACTGTCCCATTTTCTGTCACACCATGAGAACTACCAGATGTCAAGCTAGGTAAAAGAGTATCATCTAAGGAGCAGAAAGGCAAGTATAGTGAATACAATTTCCTTAATGTCAAATTTCCCATCACATCCAAGGCATAATAGTTCTTTTGTTCTTATGCAGAAGAAATTACAGTTCTGGTTAGTAGCTGAAGAGAGGCTGTGCTAAGCTGCAGATCGATCATGACGGTGTGTTCAGTGACACAGAAGAGGGTTTCAACCAACAGCACAAGGGTGCTCAAGACATGCTGAACAGAACTGCTTGCTAAGGACTGTATCACCTACATGGTTGCAAACACCCATAGGAAATYCTGAAGGAAATGCCAAGAAGTTTCCACTCTGTCCGCAGTGACAGGAAGGTGGTCTCTTACTGAAGCTTACCAAAGGCTAGGGGCTAAATGTGATTGCCCCCAAAACACTACTGCTTCTTTCAAGKAGCTAGTTGAGGGGACATTTTGCAAAATGAGCAGACAAGCTCTCCAACCTCAAAGCCTTTTCTCTGAAGCAGCGTCATTCCCATCAGGCAGACKGCATGGGCCTTGGCACAGGACATGCCTGTGACCCACGTGGTGCCTGGAAGAGCAGATGACCCAGACGAGCACTTCTGCCGTTGAACAGACAGCTTGCCCCTGTCCCCATGCACTGCCGGCTCCGGGAACCCTTACTGGCAAATGTCACCTCCCAATGGGAAGCCCTCCTCCCATTGTAGCAAGCTCAACTGCAACATATGTCCCTCAAAGTGACATGAACATCTTTTGGTGGCTCTCTGTCCTTCTCTACCAACATTTGACCATTTTCTTCTATTAACCTATTAGCGATATCTTCTGATTAACACCTGTGAGTCACAGTGCAGACTTGTCAGTGCTCATTTTCACARGTGCAGCTGCCTCTCCCTGTTCAACCAAAGCCCCCTTTACCCCAACCAGGGGTCCCTGAGCTGCGCTTGGTACCTGGCCTATAGGCCCTAGGCAGGCGGTGAGGGAGTTKGGGGGGCACCATGGAGCACCTGGACCCCGATGCACCCACCAAGCACAGCAAGAAGGGGAGGACCAAGGCTCTTGGTAGCTCCTTTTAAGCCSACACCTGTGGTGCTGGGTGGGGGGAAGTTATTGTGGGCGCTTTCTCCTACCAGGCAGGTATCTCCTCCAAATCACCTGTGGGAGCTGTTGCTACTCACAGCTTAGTGTAGAGCAGACTTAAGATGCAGTATGTAAGAAAAGCTCAGTGAGTACAGAAAGGTCACCTCCCACTGCTGAAGGACGCTACGGGCAGTATCAAGCTCCAGCTGTAGCTACACGGTCTCGTCTGCACTCAAACACAACGCTCAGCCTCGGTGACACGCGGGTTCATGACCATGAGGATTTATTGCAGCAACAAATATCTCCGCAGAGAAAAATCCTCCCAGCCCTGGAAAACGTCCAGCAGAGGCCAACCATGAGCACAGGGGTCAGCACGGGGACACGATCCAGCTCCTCTGCTCGCCCTCTGGGATCCCTGCTGAAAGCAATGCCCGGTTTGAGTTGGTCCCCAACGTRTAAGGTCCTCAGTGGGTCTGAGCTTAGCCTGTAGCAGGCTGCAGCTCCACACCATGGAGATCTTTCTGACCCCATCACTGTGCTTCCAGCAGACTTTGGGAAGCGGCCCTGCCAGCTCATTTCAGAGCTCAGAGCAGCTGTGACTGCTCCCATTGGGGCGATGCTGCCATCACCGTGCACTCTCCTCCCCAAGGACACCTTGATCTGCTGGAAATAAGCTCAGTATTAAGCTGTACACTATGACAGCAGCTGTGTCATTCATCTGRAGCCCACAGTGCAGGGACTGTTGTGGTCTTTCCTCGTATGCAGGCCCTTTACTCAGCAGGTCACACGTGAGACTTTGCTGTTCACCTGAGCGATAAGCAAAGTAAAGGGGGGRAAAATGACAGAAAATGAGTAAAAATGATGTTGGGGGACACCCTTAATGTACTAGTTCTGCTCTSCAGTCATCCTTTCCTCAGGCTTCCTCCTTGAAAAGAAGGCTTGGGTCTGTACTTCCTAGGAGTAAGCCAAAGAAAGTCAAAGAAAGAAGTCTCTGACTTACTGTATGTTATCAGTAAGTAGGTTTAAAAATAAATAAATAAAGTAGCTCTGTGATCTCTTCGTTCTCCCACTAGCAATGCCAGAGGCAGAAAAATAACAAAACATAAACTTTAGTGGTAAGTTACAGCCAACCTGGCAGCTTTCGGCAGTTAAAAAGAAAGATTAATATTCAGAGGTTAAAACTCTGCCCGGGGCACCCCCATGCGGCTGGACGTGCCTTGGCCCCGGGCGCCGTGGGCTCCCTGGAGGACATCGCTGGGCCCACGTGCCGTGGTGGGACATGGTGGGACGTGGTGGGATGCTCCCTCGTGGGAGCGCAGGGGGTAACAGGCTCTGGTGGATGGGCTGGGGGCTGCGCGTGGGCTGGAAGGGCCCTCTTCCCACCATGTTGTTTTCTCCGGGAAGAGCCGCCTCTCCGGAGGAGGCCGGCGCTGTGGGCGCTCATCCCGTTGTTCCTTCCAACAGATGGCGTGAGCGTCAAGATGATCGAGGAGCTGAAGGCCATGATGGAAAACATCTCCCARGAGGTTGCCTTGCTGAAGGAAAAGCAAGCGCTTCAGACAGGTAAAGGGCTCGCCGGCACAGGCTGCGCTTTGGGAGAGGGGACGCGATGAAGCCCTTTGAGAGGAGGCACTGGGCACGCGCTCCATGGGGCAGCGAGCCGGGAGCGTCGGGCAGAGGAGCGTCCTGCAGAGCTCCCAAGCGGATGAAGCTCCTGGGTGTCCTGCAGAGCTCCCAAGCGGATGAAGCTCCGGGGGTGTCCTGCAGAGCTCCCAAGCAGATGAAGCTCCTGGGGTGGTTAATGGCTGGAGCTGTGCAGCATATGTTCCCGCTCCCACCACACCAGTGCTTCTCCCTGTATAGCTGCTGGTGTTTCTGTGCCACGAAGCCAGATGTTCCTTTTCCCTCACGAGGCAGAGAGATGGGTTGTTGCGCACCCATGGCTRTGCACTTCCATCAAACGTGCTCTTTGCCATCTGCTTTTGCCCAAAGCCCAGGGAAAGGGGTGAGCTTGCCCGGCTTCTTTTGCAGTATTGCAGCTTTACCCAGAGAAACTCCCCCATGTGCRGTGTGAGGGTGGTCCCAAGGCAGTCATCTCCTGGACATGCTCCATGGCCGCTCCACGTGGAGCACCATAGGCCAGGGGTCTGCAGGACATGAAATAGGGATGCAGTGGGAATGCAGGTTAAGGAGCACTTTGGCTCTAAAACAAGAGCAGCGCAAGCATAAGGTTTTAGATCTGAGCTTGAGATTTAATTGGTTTGGATGCTGATGTATCCTGTAATTAGTTGTTGTTTGGATGGAATACGCTGAGCTCTTGGGGTTTAAGGCTTACCAAAACAATGCTATTCTTACCAATAAAATCAGATGGAAGTAGAAATTTCCCCTRAAGACACAAGCAATGCAAGCTCAACACTTCCAGTCAGACATTTTTCATGTGTGCATAATTAAGATGATTGAATTATATTTATATGCTTTTATTCCAAAATTCTTCAATGCCCAGCAGAGACAATAAAAAAATCTTGTCTCCAAAAGAATTTGAGAAAGATTAAAAGCAGCTGGAAAATAAAGAAATTGGGGAAAGGGGAATGAGATCTACATTGCAGCTTTGCTCTGGGGATGCAGAAACCCAGGACAGTGACACAGACACCCTGGAGGTCCATTTTTGCTGACCAGTAGAGAGGTCATATCCCTGCAGCCACAGCATGTGGCTTCCTGTGAAGAGCCCCTAGGGATGCTCAGGCTGTTGGGAATGGCGCCATGAACACTAGGCRAAATGAACCTTGTAATTTAACTGCCGTGTGTGTTTTTTAAAGCAGATCCCTCTTCTTTTTGTCTCGTTTGTGTGGTGGCTTCATAGTTTGTCTGAAAGGCACCAAAATCCACCTAAAATGCTTTCTTGCATTTACTGAGGCCAAGACGTACCACGARGCCAGCGAAAACTGCATCTCTCAGGGCGGCACCCTCAGCACCCCGCAGAACGGCGAGGAGAACGACGCGCTCTACGACTACATGCGGAAGAGCATCGGCAACGAGGTGGAGATCTGGCTCGGCCTCAACGACCTGGCGGCYGAGGGCAAGTGGGTCGACATGACGGGCGCCAGCATCCGCTACAAGAACTGGGAGACTGAGATCACCACCCAGCCGGATGGCGGCAAGTCGGAAAACTGCGCGGCCTTGTCGGGGGCCGCCATCGGCAAGTGGTTCGACAAGAGGTGCAAGGAGCAGCTGCCCTACGTCTGCCAGTTCATGATCGTGTAAGAGCCGGGGCTGCTCCTGCCGGCCGGCTTGGCCCACTTGGCAGCAGGGTTATAGAGCTATAGGTATGTGTATGTGTACATATACACACGTGCACGCTCACACACACTCACACACAGCTAGAGTCACTTCTCGCAAAGAAACTTGTCGTGGCTTGGCAATGGATTAGGGAGAGTTAGACCTCAGCTGCATCGCATGCGGCCGCAGCCAGCTCTGCTAGCGGCTGCACCGTTCTTACTAGGCCATGGTTTATAGATCTATTTTTTTACACGGGAAATTTATTAGGATGGCTTGGTCGTTTCAGCAAAGGACTAGTGCAATGCGCCAGCTTTGCAAACCAGCCAGTCCGGCGCTCTGGGGCGGCCGCTCTGCAGTTTCCATTCTTGCTGAACGTTGTTGAAGACCAGCAAAGCTGCTCTGTGCCTTCACCCCCTGTTCTGCTCCCTCATAAACCCCGAGAGCGGTGGGAGCTGGGCACGAGGTGCACAGAACCACGTGTTAGTCACTCGCAGCCCTCAGATCTGCTCCCTGCATCCCCCCCCAATCCTCCCAGGGAAGATCCCATCTCCAAGAGTAGGGATAGTTACTTCTGCTTTATGGTGAGAGATGGAATTGGGCTTAGTGGCTGAGCGAGCCATGCAACTCCATAGGTGGTCACACGAGTTGCATTACTTAGATAAATAAGTCAGCAAGTAAGAGTCACGAGCTGCTTTGCKGAGTGTCCTTTTCAGAAGCACTTACCTTTTTGTTGGCTCATTTCTTGTTAGCCAGTGGTAGAAGTTCCACTGATTTCAGTGAGAGCTACTACCCCCAGCACCAGATCTTTCAAAAATCCCACCAGAAGCTTTATTTGTGCTCCAGCAGCARGAGGGAAGCCGTGAGTCTTTCAGAGCTTACTCAGTCAAATGTGTTCTAGGAAATAGAGGATGACAGTATTAGGTAAATGTCAGAATTTTAATGCCGTTATAGATGAGGCTCTCCTATCAAAGACAAYTGTCCATTGGAAACAAATCCCTAGAAAAGGGATTTTTGCCACTTTAGGATCTGTTTTAGTGATAGCAGCTCAGTTGAAATGTACCAGTCCCTGTTGGTCAGAGCCCAATTCTCAGCTAAAATAAGCTGAGAACTTGTTTTAGTTCTCAGTCCAAGAGACTCCAAGACTTGGAGAGTCCTCCAAGCTCCGTTTGRGCTCATAAAGTCAGATCTGGCCTCAGCACGCAGTTGCTCAGTAAAGGGTGGATGCCAAAAGATATAAATGAGCAGCAGTAATGGGAGAAAAAAAAATGTTGCAGGCCACTGTGGGAACTTAGTGAGGTTTTATTCACATTGACTTGCTTACTGTTGGCCAAAACCTGTTTGTGGCTCGTTGAACGTTGGTGCTTTCTGGTAACACATCTGGTGTAGGTTACACAGCCCTTGGTCAGGTAGAAGGTGTCAGGATGTAACACTCGGGAGGGCCACGGGGGAATTATTTCAGTGTCTCCTGGTTTAAAAGCAGCGTGATTCGGTGCCTTCCCACCCGCCGAGGGGGAGAGCCAAGTTGGAGGAATGGAAACACACGCACAGGCAGCACAGACTGCTGAGGCTCTTCGTTATTGCCAAACTCTCCGCTGTTCAAACGACCATAAAATAAAAATATATATAGCTTGCTGAAAGAATAAAGTTGAGTTAATTTGACTGGGCTGCTTCCTTCGCACGCGCCTTAGATTTTGCTTCAGAGTGGTGCCAGGGTCCTGTCAGAGGAGCAGAGAGCACAGAAGCAGGGGGGAAGAGCAGAAAGCCGGCCGGCCAGCCAGCGTTTCCTGCTCYCTCATGTAGTTTCCCTGTTATTAGCGTCATGTTTGCATGCCACAGGAGAGACACAGGCAGGGGACAGAAACATAAACACAGACAAATAAGATTTGCTTCCCCCTCTGCTTCTGAAATCTCACTCCAAAGCAGGAGCGGGCCCTGCAGACAGGTCCATCCTGCAGCCAGGCCCATCCTGGCCCTGCGGAGTCTCGCCCCGTGTTTGGAAGCCGCAGCCACGTGCACCCCAGCAGCGGCCCTCATATTCCCAAGGCAGAGCCGACGCTTCCCAGATTGCCTCCTATCTCCTCCATGAAGGGCACAGCCACGGCTCTGCGAGAAGAGCAGGAGCAGCAGAAAGGCACCACTGTCGTTGCCAGACCAGACCCACAATGAAACAAGCTTGAACTGGGAGCCCGGGTCGCCTCCAGACGTGTCCCGTCTGTGCAGGGCTGGGACCAGCATCTCCTTCTTGATCTTCTTTCCTTTTTTTGGTACTCATGGCAAGCCAGAGAGAAACACCTGCCATTCCCAAAGTGCTTGGCATTTGGTTGGGGTTACCATTGCCAAGGGTGGTGATGTCTGCAGCACAGATGAGCAGAGGAACCTCAGTTATTCCACAAGAAAACAGAAATGTGGACGTGATCATGCTGAAGCCATCACGTGGTGGTGCCTGAAGCCTGAAATGGCCCTCGCTGCTAAAGCAGATGGGTTCTGCCTCAGGCCTTGTGCCACCRATTACGCTGCTCAGCTGTGTGCAGCTCTTGCAGAGCAGAGGAAAGATGCAGTGTGAAAGGCAGGTACATCTGTGAAAACAGGGAAAAAGGCACTAGGGGAGATTGTCAGGCAGTGCTCAGCACAGCTGACATCTGTGGAGAAAGGCTGATTTGTACCACTTGCTGCCCTGACCCTGATTCATCAAGGTCCGTAAGTGCAGGTGAAGGATCAATTGGTTAGAAGTGGGAGGGTTAACCACGAAACAGTTAAACTCTTAAACACCCCACTGAGCAAGAGCCAAGAGTCAATAGCTCATTAGTAATGTACATTAATGCCCKGGCCAGGAGCCAGATGCCTCCTGGCCTCAGCCAGTGCAGGGCCCAGGGATCAGTACAGCAGCAGCAAGCAAAGGTGGGCAGGAGTGTGGGAGTCACAGCAGTGCTTTGGGTCCTGAAACTCAATGTTTCTGTGGGATTCCCTCTTTACCAGACCAGGAAAGCCCACAACAATGAGCTCAGGGACATGGAGGAATCACGGAGTGGTTGAGGTCGGAAGGGACCTCTAGAGATCATCTAGTCCAATCCCTGCTCAAGCAGAGACACCCAGAGCACGGGGCACAGGGAMGGCCACAGTCTCCCATGGAAAGATAGAGTGACATTGAGAATGAGCACCCAGCCTCAAGCATGAGCTCCCTGCATTGGTTTGTCCCCATCTCTCACCACATCAGGTGTCGTCTCTCCCCATGATCTTCTCAAGGAGCAGCTCCCACAGGCCACACTCCCTTCCTGTCCCAAAGGGAAAGCGCTTCCCGCCCCTGACTGTAGCATTGCATCCCCCATAGGATGCACTGGCAGCTCTCCAAAGGGAAGGAACATCCGCCCCCTGCACCGTGAGGCCTTGTTCCCGCTGCAGACTTCGCTGCTTGCTCCGACTCCTCCGTAAGCACCAAACACCCTGTGCAAGGTAGAGGAGCCCCTGGAGCAGGGCCTGATTCCTCGCCCAGGTAAGGCGAGGGATGCTGCACATGTCTGTGCACCCCTACGTGGTCTGGCAGCCTCAGCACAGAGAATATAACAAGAGCCCCAGAAAACATTTGCTTCCACTTAAGCCCTGCTAGAAAGCTAACCCTGAGTCTAATAATGAGAGAGAAAAAAAAAATCAACAAATCACTTGGCAACCTTACAGACTGGCAACAAAATCATCTTTCAAGAAGCTATGCTTGGAAAACACTGCTTTGGAAGCGCTACATCTTACAGAATTAAACCTAATAGAGGGAATAAAGCCTGCACCACACACAGAAATAAACTGAGGCCACCTTAGGTTCCCACTGTGGTTACAGGAGCACTTGGCATCGCTGTGACACCCGTCAGTGGTGAATCACAGGGATCTCAAAGCAAGGTGTCTGTCCTGCAGCACTGCATCATCCTTGGAGATATCCAAGGCTGGCTGGACATGGTCCTGGACAACCCGCTCTAAGTGGCCTTACTGGAACATGGGGGTTGGACAGGAGGGTCTCCAGAGATGCCTTCCAGCCTCAGCAGCTCTGAGCAGACACAGACACCAACAGAGGTTTCAACCTACCCACCTGGGTCCTCTAGAGTCATAGAGAGGAGCGAGAGGTCCAGGGTCAGACTCATGACCTCAGACACCCCATAAATGAGCTGCCACATGGAAATTCTTCCTATAAGGGAAGGCTACCAGGGAAGCCAMAAACACTTTGTCTTGTGAGCCGTGACTTTGTAGGTTGCAGTGGCCCTGGAGCTCCAGACAACCTTTCTCAGAGCTGTGCCGAGAGTCATCGCAAGAGCTCAAAGTGGATACAGCGACTGAGCCCAAAGCAAACTGAACGAAGCCCACCAGAACACAAAAAAGGGAAACAAGATACACTGTATACTAAAAGATCAGTACCGAAACGCAATTCATGAGTAGGCAGGTGCAGCTGTGGCAGAGCATAATGCCAGTGATATGTGATTGTGTTACAGTTAAATCAGCATTGTCCACGGGCAGGTTTAATTTCCTCTGGATTCACACACAGCCCGGATGCCGTCTCCATCACTGGGACTGCCTGAATCCAAATCCAACTGCCCGGTTCTCCAAGCACAGGGGATMCAGGCTTCAAGCTGTAAGAGATGCTGCTAGTCCTACCAGGCTGCAATACCAGCCTGGAAACCAATAGCTCTTGGCTTTTATACTTTCTTCTACAATATGTCAGAACAGAAAGCCAAAACCTCAGGAGGGGAGATTTTAGAAGAGCTAGATTTCAGGAAATAGTCCAGAAATAGCCTCCCTGCTTAGGAACACAGTTAAACAATTGGGTCTGTTGAACAGCACAGACTTGGAGCGAATGATGAGGGTGGGGTGCTGTGTGCCGACAGTCTGAGTGATCTGAGTTTTCTGCACAGCCCAGAAATGAAACACGCTCCAAAAAAAATGAAGCAGAGCAACCACCGGCACTTTTCATTCCTAAATTAAAATACAGACACAAAAGAGACGGATGCTCACAAAGTGAGAAATAAGAGTGTAGCACGACAGAAAAACTGAAAACATGGTATTACGGGAAATAAAATGTAGGTACAAAATGTGAAAAGCTTCAAAACAAACACAAATCATTACTGAGAATTCCTCTTTCTCTGGACAAGCATTACTATGTAAGCCTATACAAGCTTTCTATTTTTAAGTCTCCTGGAATTACAGATGTGGGCAGCGTCCAGAGACAGATTTAAAACCACCTCAGGCCTGTGGCCTTTACCAAATGCTGAATGCACAGTTAAATAAATAAACAAATGAATAAAAGAGCATACAGCTCACCATGCAAAATGGCACTGAGCAGTGCATGGGTGCAAAGATGCAGCCTTTCTCCATGAGGTAACCAGGGGGCCTGAATGACCCTGAATGTCTRTAGAAAATCACGAACTTGAATTTCAGGACCTGGCTGCATCAAGGTCAAGACAGTTTTCTTGCTCCTGCTCTTTGGAGGGAGACATCCCTATTCTGCCAGCACGTCCTGGGACATCTGCCAATTTGTTCTTCCTTTTCCCCTTCTTGCTCTGTAGAGCAAGCTGGTCACTGCTGCAAACCCTGCAGCAGAGACGTGGGTGCAAAGGTCTGAGCCCAAAAAAGCACCAGGGGTGCTGAGGTGTCAGCCTGTGATCATCCTTCCTCTCACCCATCCTTGGAGATCAGGGACCAGGAAAACCAGCTGCAGCCCGCGGGACTAGGCAAGACATTTCCTGGTCTCCTCCCTCTTTCTCAGTGCCCTGCAATGAGAAACCTCGGGTATTAAAGTGGGTTGTTTCAGGCAAAGGGACTCCAGGTGCATTTACATATATGTATATGTATATATCCTGTTCCCATCTCACCACAGCAAAAGACAGCCAAGACTTACAGACAGCTGCACGACTGCACTTACTCAACACAGAGAGTCATTAATCACAAAGAGGACTAGCAACCCACCCCTATGAAACCGTGTAACCTGTAACAGGTTCTTAGGGGAACAGATCTTCTATTTTGGTCACCGGGGATAGAAAGTCACAAGTTGTCCCGATTGCATCGCTTAAAGCACGGAACGGGGAGACACTTCTGCTACTGCAAATGTTAGTGAAGCAATTACAGACATTGTAAAGCTTACCTTGGAAAGAGGTTATGTGATTCACAGCACCATTCATGGGCCTGGGTTATTGTACCACATGTTTCCATCTAATTTGATGGACAAATGGGTATCACTCATAGAGGAGGTCATTCATGYAAAGAGAAGAGAGAGTTTTCAGAATAATTTGTGCCTCTCTCAACCAAATTCATGTTTTCCCAAAGAATTCTGCAGCTACTTGAAATGAAAGGTAAAGTATTACTWCAAGCACTGCCATTTCATTCAACTCTGAAGTGGATTTGTGCCAG